CATCTCCTGTTTGACCACTTCTAATTTGCCTTGATTCATGGACCTAACATTCCAGGTTCCTATGCAGTATTGCTCTTTACAGCATCAAACCCTGCTTCCATCACCAGTCCCATTCACAACTGGTTGTTGTTTTTGCTTTGGCTCCATCCCTTCATTCTTTCTGGAGTTATTTCTCCACTGATCTCCAGTAGCATATTGGGCACCTACCGACCTGGGGAGTTCCTCTTTCAGTATCCTATCATTTGCCTTTTCATACTGTTCATGGGGTTCTCAAGGCAAGAATACTGAAGTGGTTTGCCATTCCATTCTCCAGTGGACCACATTCTGTCAGAGCTCTCCACCGTGACCTGGCCGTCTTGGGTGGTACCACACGGCATGGCTTAGTCTCATTGAGTTAGACAAGACTGTGGTCCATGTGATCAGATTGGCTAGTTGTCTGTGATTGTGGTTTCAGTCTGTCTGCCCCCTGATCCCCTCTCTCCTTGCCTACTGTCTTAGTTGGTACATGGCTGCCATATTAATCTTGCTAATGTTTACTTCAGTGCCATCATTTCTCTGCTCAGAAGCTTTCAGAGGTTGTCCTCTTATCTCTGGAATTAAAGCTTCCCAGCGTGGGTTTCAAAGATTTGGCTACAGTTTACTTCCTGAATTCAGCGGTACTTACTGTTCTGTTAACAGCTCCCGGGAGATAGTATCCTAGGCACTTCTGTTATCCAGTGGCCGAACTAGCCTACTTGTTCTTATTGTTTCTTACTTCAGGTCCTTGAAGCCCAAGGAGATCAGATGAGAAACAGGTATTTAAACAAAAGTAATAGTTATCAACTCTGGGGATCAGTGTCTTAGAGGAAAAGAAGACCAGGTTTAGAAGGCAGTGGGTGATCAGGGAGCCTCCTCAAAGAGCCTGACCCCTGAAGTTGTTAGTAATGCTCATTCCCTCCAGCTTCTCCTCTGTGGTTTGCTGAACTGGATTCTTTCGGTTTGCTTCTTGGTCTACCTCTCTTTACTTCTATGTAGTTGTTTCTGAAGACTCAATACTTGATTCAGTTATGTTTTTTTCTATGCTGAAAGTGAAAGTGTTAGTCGCTCAGTTGTGTCCGACTCCCAGAGTGGACTCACACTCATGTCCATCCAGTCGGTGATGTCATCCAACCATCTCATCCTCTGTTGGCCTCGTCTCCTTCTGCCTTCAATCTTTGCTGGCATCAGGGTCTTTTCCAGTGAGTTAACTCTTTAAATCAGGTGGCCAGAGTATTGGAGCTTCAGCTTCTGCATCAGTCCTTCATTGAAGGAAGGACCCCCTCGACTGTAGCCCCTTCCTGTGCTGAGTCACCAGCTCAAATGCAGGTGCTCAGATGGGAGCGGTGAGTGGTGCTGGCTGGGAGCAGCAGTGGGGCTGAGTGGGGAACTAGTGAGCGGTGGGAGGGCCTCCCTGGCAGCTCAGCAGGGAGGAATCTGCCTGCCCTTGCAGGAGACGTGGGTTCGATCCTGGGTTGGGAAGATCCCCTGGAGAAGGAAATGGCAATCCACTCCAGTATTCTTGCCTGGGCAATCTCACAGACAGAGGAGCCTGGTGGGCTGCAGTCCGTGGGGCCGCAAAGAGTCAGATGTTACTTAGTGGCTAGACAACAAGTGAGCAATAGAGAGCCCTCTGTCTCAAGGAGACAGCTTTTCAGCCCGGGGTACTGTTGCCATTGTGAAACCTAGGCCCAGGGTTTCCATAACAGTCAATATTTCTGGAAAGGCTGGAAAACTGCATTTTAAAGTAAAATCTCTTGATTTTAAAAATCTTTGTCATTTTAAAATCCTGGTAACCATACAACACATTTGTAGGCACAGTCAGTCATCAGGCCACAGGTTTCAGCTGCAACTTTCTAATTTATTCCCCATAGAGAACTGAGAGGTTTGTATGCCTCACTAATTGTCTATGCATGTAACTTGTTGATTTGGCTTTAGCTAACCTTTCTTTCAAACTCTGGTCTCTTCTCCACTCACTGTTGAATATTTTTACTTATACCATTATAAACTCAAGAAATTAAAAATGGAATTCATATTTCATCCTACAAACCAGCTAGTTTCCTTTCCAACCTTTTCAGTACCTATTTCTCCTGATTCTCCTGGCTTGAAATCTTGGGGTCATTGTTGGCATAATTCTTTTTCTTTTCCATTGAGTTTTTACTTCATAATAACTCCGTAAATCATGCTTTTGTTTCCATAGGTGCTCTTCATCAGTTTATGTCTGAATTACTTGGCCTTGTACTTCATCTTCTATTCTATTCACATTTTACTTTGCCTACTTCTGCTGTAATAATCTTCATTAAGCACTATTTTTATTATATGGTCATCTTAAACAGGTTCACTTAAAGTTAATTTTGTAAGCCCATGTGTGCTTTTTTTCTTGATAATCAAAAATCTAAATGATAACCTTCTCATTCTTCTTCGTTGTTTTTAACCTTAGCATGTATCAGGATTACCTGGAGGGTTTGTTAAACATAGATTTCTGAGCCTTTCTGCACAGTGTCTGATTCAGTAGGTGTGGGATGGGGTCAAGTATTTGCATTTCTACCATGTTCTCAGGTAAACTGATGATGTAGGCCCAGGAACCACCTTTGGAACAGTTGCTGCTAGCAGCAGAGTTGATAATCATGTGAAGGAAGCAACCCTTATCAAGTGAGTAAGTAAATTAGCAGTAGCTGGGATGCGCATGCCTCTTCCCTTCCACCAGATGGCACTCTGGTAGCCAATAGGAAGGAATCTGAAGATCATAAATTCAAAATTACTTGGAGACTGAAGATGCAGGTAGACTTTTGAGTTATAAACGTTAATACCAGATTTTAAATAATAGTTGAGTATAAATTGGAACATATAGAAGTAATATGATTATATAGAATCTGGCAGGGAACTTAGTTGTACTTGGGTTCGTTTTCTATTTTGCTTTATAGTAATTGGTCCAGAGATTTTTTTTGACCTGTAAATGTGATATACAGTGCTTTGAACTGACGTTTTATAGGTTTATATTAACTTTCTTCAAATGAAATAAATTTTTTTTGAGCTTCATTGATTTATTCACTTTTTCCCCTTTAGTGTGGACTTGAATTTTCACTACTGGAATGGTGGAACAAATTTGGGTTAGTTTCCTTTAAAAAAGGTTTTTTTTTTTTAATTGAAATATAGTTGCTTTACAATGTTATGTTAGTTTCTGCTGTACAGCAAAGTGCATCATTTATACGTATACATGTATCTACTCTTTTATAGATTTCCTTCCCATTTAGGTCACCGCAGATCACTTTGGAATCATTGAGGAGGAGCTTCAAACAAAATATGTGTCCTATTTTGTTGTGTTAGGACACACAATGTCTGTATCCTACCGTAGTTTTCAGAATGTCCTGTGCTTGGGATCACAATATATAGCCTTTTCAGATTGACTGCTTTTGCTTAGCAGTGTATATTTAAGGTTCCTCTCTATTTTTTTTTTTTTTATGGAGTAGTGTTGTTTCTTTTTATTGCTGAATAGTATTTCACTGTGTATATATACCACCGTTTGTTTATCCATTCAGCTATTGAAGGACCTCTTTGTTACATCCACATTTTGGCTAGTATGAATAAAGCCATCATCAACATTCACATGTAGGTGGACGTAAGTTTTCAGCTCATTTGGGTAAATAACAAGGAGTGCAGTAGCTGGGTCATATGATAAGGATATGCTTAGTTTTTTACGAAACCACCAAACTTTCTTTGAAAGTGGCTGTATTGTTTTGCGTTCATACCACAATGACTGAGAATTAAACTTTTTGTTTAAATTTTTTGTTCTTTTTGTTTAAACTTTTGTTCAAAGAAGCTAAAGCAAGCAAAAAGGAATGTAGTATTTATACATTGAAACATGACTACCCACATTACTGTGTTCATTGTATTCTACATTTGTTTCAGGTTTAATTTGTACAAAAGGACTAATATCATACTGCAGCATTTGGTAAGTTTGGACTTTGTTTTGCTGACATTATTAGATTATGATGGGTAATTTAAAATGTCATTGTTAAGGAAGTAGAGAAGTACTGGCAGATGTTGACCATGATACACTGTGGTTTCCAATTTTATAGTGTCAAATTTGACACATATAACTTGTAGGAGGTGGCATAAGGTTATAGGTAAGAGGATGAATCTTCAGGTCAGAATGCTTAGGTTTAAATAATGGGTGTACTACTTAATCTTGGGCAGATTACTTGATCTCTCTCCGCCTCCTTTATCGATATTTTAAAAAGAGGGATATTAGTATTCACCTTAGAGTACTTATGAATAATAAATAATTCATTAAAAAATTTAACACTGCTTGGCATATGATAATCATTTAATACATGTCACCTACTATTGTACTAATAGTAGCCTTCCAGAGCTTAGATGGTCTTAGTTTATCATGTTGTAAGGAAGAAATGATTTTTATTCATTTTTCTATATCTCCACTATAGACTGAATCTGTCCCCCCCAATTCATATGTTGAAATCTAATTGCCAATGTGTTGATATTTGGAGATGGGGCCTTTAAGAGGTGGTTAGGTCAGGAAGGCCGAGCTCTCATGAGAGAATCAGTACCTTTATAAAGGAAACACCAGAGAGCTCCTTCTGCCCTTCTGCCCTCCGAGGAGGGATGCAGCGAGAACTGGGAGGTGAGACCTCACCAGATACTGAATCTGCAGGCGTCTGGATCTTGACTTCCCAGCCTCCAGAGTTGTGAGAATCAAATGCAGTATAAGCTATGCAGTCTAAGGTATTTTTGTTATAGCAGCCTGAATGGGCTAAGGCACCCTCATACAACCCCACAAGCACCTTGCACATAAAAATGACAAGTCACTCTGATGTAGCACTTATGGTATGCCAGGTGCTATTCAAAGTACTGATACTTATTGTTAATAGTTCAGTTGATTCTCATAGTCTTATGGGATAAATAACTATAGATCTGTCATCTCTAGTTCTGAAACCTTAAAATCAGATGTTTGTGGATATTTGTGGTAAATGCATTTGGTGGCTGTCTTGCTGTTCACGCTGTCCGCAGTGACCGCGGAACCCAGGGTATGCAAGTCACAAGCTAAGAGACTGGAAAGAGACTCAAGGAGCCACAGGAACTGCAGACACATTTATTCTCTCCCGGCTGGCACGGCAGCCATAACACAGCCTCTCTTCTGGCTGATGCAGCAGCCATAGCAGCAGCCGTAATATGACCAGAAGTCACCTGTGACACAGCCATAGCATATGACATAGCCGTGACATCGCTCCAGTGTAGCCCCGATGCAGCCACAGCAGCTGGGGCTTTCATGGGGAAGCTCGTGCAGGTGCACTGCACACACTAGCCTGTGGCCGAGCGAGTGCCTCGTGGTGCGCATGCGCAGTACCGTAAGAACCTCAGCTGTTACACACCGGGCAAAGTCATTGTCCACGGGACATGGGGTGAGAGGGCCTGACTCGTGCCATCTTGTTAATTTCTGCACATTCCACCCCTTCAGGCTATAGTCTATGGGGTCACAAGAGTTGGCCATGACTTGGCGACTAAACCACATTCACCCCTTCAGGGTCTCTCACCTCACCATCTATGCACAGTCCATCTTCCGCGATATTCCGTTGGCAAGTAATGCTGATCTTTGAAGTTACATCTCCCAACAGCAGTAGCTATAACAGCAGTTAATCCTCCAAACAGGAAATCTAGTGCCAGGTATCACCTGGAACTCATTGTTGCAGTCCTTGCCCTCATGGGGCTAAAAAAGCCACCCACTGCATGCGGAGTGCCTTTTTCTTCCATGGCCAAGTCCAGTCCACCATCTGTCCTGGTGAGATTTCAGGAAAGCCTCCAGGAGCAACTCCACCCCTGCTGGTTTTTCTTTATTAAGGATCCACAAACCTCCCCCGCAGGCGCCAGGCCCACCTCTTCTAGGAGGGGATTTTTTTGTGTGGTATTCATGGATCACCCACATGATTCCAGATACTTTCACACTGTTCTAAATCTTCAAGAGAATCAGAGGTTAGTAGCACATCACAGACACAGCCTTTGCAGTACACTGTCCTACTAAACCTACATCACAGAACCCAGCCTTTACTGTATACTCATCACAGACATAGCCTTTGCAGCACAATCCACATCACAGACACAGCCTTTGCAGCACACTGTTCTAAATCTACATCACAGACGCAGCCTTTACAGTATACTCATCACAGACGCAGCCTTTACAGTATACTCATCACAGGACACAGCCTTTGCAGCACAATCCGCATCACAGACACAGCCTTTGCAGCACACTGTTCTAAACCTACATCATTTGGCCACCACAGCCATCAGTGTAGGCACTAGGAACGGGAAACTGCTCTGGCTTGCCATAAACAAGGCTGCACTCAGCACCAGTGTCACCCAGGGCCATTACTCTTTGTACACCAGCTAGTGACCAGTGAATTGCAAGTTCTCCATGGGGCCCCCAGTCCCTGTTTGGGCTCAGGAGGGTGCCTTGATCTGAGCCCTATTCAAAGTGATAAAGGGCAACATCTAAAGGAACATCCTGGGTGCCATGTAATCTTCTAACCAAACCACCTATTTCTCTTGCTGTGGGTGCTTCCCAAACTTGGTAAACTTCTCCTTCAGTCTCAGTTGCCTCCATAGCTCTCTAGGAGCAGAGCTTTGGGCTGTCTGTCAGTTTTATTTTTGTCAACTCCTGCTACCAGCAAATCAGCCCACATTTGCATTCTCATCACCCGGGTGGGGCTGTTACTAGCTTGGGCCCCCTTCAGAGTCTTCACACTTCTGATCCCCCATGCCTGTGGCCATCCCTATTTCTCCCAAGCTAGCCACCATCGAGGTCATCGCATAGATGGGATGGCTCACATAGGGCATAAGAATAGCAGTCCGGGATCCAAAGTGGTAGATGGGGCATTGTTCAAAATGGCATCTCAAATGCCGCCAGTAAAATGCTCATCATCTAGGCCTTGGCATTTGGGTTAGATATCTACTGCTTCATGCCCAGTTCTCTCACCACTTGGGTCAACTCAGGATCGGTATACCTCTTAGAGTATCCGGGAGCTCTCCTGTGTTTGACCACATGGTACAGATGGCAGCATTAATCCCATTCCATCAGGGTGTGTGTTTTGTTAGGTGCACCCTGCATGAGCCACCTAGCATACTGTAACCTTTGTCTCAACGAGGGGTGAGTGGTTATAGATGCCCGTCTTTCTACCTTGTACCCGGAACACAAGATACTATCTGCCCTGGTATCCCAGAGTTGCAAAAGCCATACTGCCAAGGGTTCCCTGTGCATTTGCTGAAACTGCTTACCCAAGTCAACCAACTTCACCTGAGTACATGGTGGACACCTCATTAACTCAGTCATGTTGGGGCCCACTTGAGGATGTCCCCCCGCCCCTAGGTCACAGGCTGCTCATGCTTCACCTTCTGCTGCACAGCGGGCCTCGCTGCTGAGTGGGGACCTGCAGTCTCATGGCCTTCGTCATCACTGTCCCTTACCACCTCACTGTCAGAGATGCTGGGTTACCCAGGGCCATGGGGTTCTTGTTGCGACACCAATACACAGTACTCCAGTTCGTTCAAGCATCTCTGCACATTGCACAATGCGTGTGGCATCACGGAGAGCACCATCCGTATTTGCCTTCAAGGCAGCCAGGGAGATCCACCGTTCGGTGCCAGTGGCAGTCCGTGCTGCCTTGTCCAGTAGACAGGAACTCACCGCCTGTTGCACCTTTTCAGTGCTATCCAGTGAACGTCCACCACTTCGCGGTCTTCCATGGGAGCCCACGCCAGGAGGATCGCAGCCACACAGTACCACGTGCTGTGGGGTGGCCACTGGCTTCCTCCATCCAGTGGAGCCTCAGGCTCTTCTCCCTTCTGGGTATCCTGCCAGTTACACCAGTTGTGTTGCTGTTCATCCTGTTCCTGACACCAGTTGTCTTTCTGTTCACACTGTCCCCACTGTCCGCTGAACCCAGGGTAGGCAAGGCATGAGCTGAGAGGCTGGAGGGAGACTCGAGGACCTTAGGAACTGTAGACATGTTTATTCTTTCCTGGCCAGCACGGCAGCCATTACACAGACTCTCTCCTGGCTGATGCAGCCGCTGTAGCAGCCACAACATAACCATGATGTAACCGTAGCAGACTCATAACATAATCACGACGTTGCTCCAACATAGCCCCGGTGCAGCAGCGGCCAGGGCTTTGATGGTGAAGCTCATACAGGTGTACCGCACACGCTAGCCTGCAACCAAGCGAGTACCTTGTGAGGTGCATGCAGAGTGCTGGAAGTGATCTCAGCCGTTACACAGCCACGCAGTCATTGTCTGCAGAACACGGGCGAGCGGGTGTGAGAGCAGGGGGTGAGAGAGCTGGGCTGGTGCCATCGTGTTAGTTTCCCCACAGTGGCAAAATACGACTGGAACATACTTCTGAAACTCTTTTTGTCTTTATCCTAACTAGTGTAAATATTCATTTGGTTTGGTGCAGAAGTACTAAAGCATTTGGTTACAGTGTACTGACCCGTACTCTTTAAGTGATATGTACTTTTACTTTTCCAAAGTCTAAAAAATTTTCTGAATTTTGAAATGCATCTGGACCCAAGAGTTTTGATAAACAGACTATGGTCTTATCTCTATTTACTGGATCAGAATCAGGGGGACAGAGAGGCTAAGTAGTGTGTCCAATATCCACATCTCATAAGTAGGAGATGGGATTTGAATCCAGGCTATCTGGCTCCATGGACTGCCTACTGCACTCTCCAGCCTGTGGCAGACTGGGTACAGAGTAACCACTGCAGCGTGCTTCTCCATCCAGCCTAAGTGGAGACGGGCATGTGAAAACTGGAAAGTCTTACCCTTGCTTATTTAAGTCAGCTGACCTACACAGAGGCTGAGGAGTTCCCTGGAAAAACAATTTAGGACAATGTTATTTTTCATATTTAGATTCTTATTTAGATACGCACACAAGTGGAAT